TACCAACACCCCCAGGTCCTTTTCCGCCAGGCAGCTTTCCATGTTTTCCATGTTTAACCAAGGTCTAGTTTTACGTCTTTTTTTTTTTTTTTTTTTCTTTTCCTTTCTTCTCCCAATACAGATCAACCCTGCTGGGCAAAGTGCTGCGGATTGATGTGAACAACAACGACCACGGGCCTCTGTACCGAATCCCTCCCGACAACCCATTTCTCAATGACCCTAAGGCTCGCCCTGAGGTCTACGCATACGGCGTGAGAAATATGTGGCGCTGCTCTTTCGATAGGGGCGAACCTCACACCAAGGAAGGGAAAGGGCGGCTCTTCTGCGGAGACGTGGGGCAGAATAAATACGAAGAAATCGACATCGTCGAGAAAGGGAAAAATTACGGCTGGAGGGCGAGGGAAGGGTTCAGCTGCTACGATAAAAAACTTTGCGCCAATTCTTCAATAGGTAAATAGATGTTCCCTCTAAATGACCTATGTCTCACACCGTGCAGTTTTCTGCTTGGTGGAAAATACGTATTTGTGAGATGTAAATCTATGCAGTCTCAGTCTAGAAGGCAGCTGACTTGGGGATAAATATTGAAAGTCCAAATGTTACCATTTTTGAGTTAGGAGGAAAATGAAACATGCTAGCTGTTGTTTTTCTAGATGATCTGTGTTGTTAGTCAAATTACTTGGTGATTCTGTGATTTAGGGGGACAATTTCATCTTTTCCACATAAAATAAGAAACGAGAAAAATTTGAAGAAATTGTATTTTTCTCCATAACTCAAAAGTAGTGTCCTTATTTAAAAAAAAGAAAGAAACATATTGTGTAAGCTGGCCAACCAGTATGCAGGCTGCCTGCTTTGCAGGGAACTGAATGACAGTGTACTTTTATTTCTTTTAGCTATGCCAAAAAGGAAAACCTTTTTTTTTTTTTTTAACTTTTCAAACCTGGATTCAGGATATTTGCTGGCTGGCTAAATTCCGGTGCACGTGTGAAGTCATAGTGGATTGTGTCGCACGGTCAGAAGTGGACCACATCTTGTGCTGGAGCATCTCCCCAGAGGTCCAGGGGGGCAGTGGGCTGGCAATGATTTGCACTAGCTGAGATTCTGATTTTTTTCCTCTTCTGTGTGCTATGTGGTGGTGTTTAGCTTCCTTCCTTTTATTAACTTAGTTTAACTTCCTTCCTTTTATTAACTTAGCTACAAGTACAGTGGTAGTGAATAAGTGTTTGTTATAAAAATTTTGAGAGCAGAGCAGAGAGCAGATTTTTTGCACTCCCTTTGCTGAAGCAGTTCTCAGGGAGCCCGTTTAGTCCTTTCCTGTGTGACAGCGCCTGCGTGAGCGTTAATGGCAAGCACTTTACTGAGGTCTCTGGGGATTCAGAACAATTTCTGATGCCTTTAGAGACCCTTTTGTTAGAACAGTGAAATGTCACAGCCCCTTTAAAATGATAAGTGTAGCTACAGTGTAGAAAACACTTGCTTGAGATTAAATGCCCCTGGTGCAAGTTCCCCGCTGGTAGAGCTGCCGGGTTTGCTGCTTGAGGCATCTGCTACATGGGCAGGGATAAAAGCTGTGAGGATGAGGAAGGGTGGGTACCATGAGGAGATACCTGTAACCCCAGAGTTTCAAAAGAAAGGGGAGGAAGCATCCAATGGAGACCCTCAAAATCAGGGCATCCCCCTCTATTTTGCCTTTGTCTTGTGTTTTAAGTTACATTTTACAACGAATATGGCAGTACTACATCTTCCCTGTGCCATACCATAAATATTTGATGGCCCTTTCAGGTTAAGCTCCCCTGTCTCAGAGAAACAGAAGCTATTCATGCTGACATATGACATATCCTTTCATCAGTACTTGCAGTCTGGAGTTACCCGTCTCTTTTTTCCCTTTCACCACTGAAACAAAGCTGCATTAGGCAAACATCTCCTACATGGGTGCAGTGACTCTAAGAGTAACCTGCAAATTCATAGCAAAAGCAGCCAGACTGTGTAGAAATGAGCCAGAAGCAGCACTGACAGAGCTGGGCTGTAGCAGGAGGAGAAGGGCTCAGGAGAACGGTGAGGTGTCTGGGTGATAGAGAGCACTCAGGCTTATCAGGGATTCGTCTTCTATTGCAAGTGAAACAGCAAGCAGTCTTGCTGAGCTAGCTTGTCCTTGGTTAGCACAGCCAGCTAGACGGGGCTATCAAACGTGGTTCTGAAAAGGTGAAAATCAAACTAAATATGACTCCATTGGCACTTCATTTAATTAAGGTGCTCAAATGAACCTGATCGTATCCTGCTAGTCTCAGAACTATCTAGGTAAACAGCTGTTCTGCACCATGTATAAAACAAGGCAAGTCACAGATCTTTTCTCCCCTCCAGATGATGTGCTTCCAATTTACGCGTATCCACACAAAATGGGGAAATCCGTTACAGGAGGCTATGTCTATCGGGGTTGCGAGTCTCCAAACTTGAATGGCCTGTATATATTTGGTGATTTCATGAGTGGGTAAGTAAATACTTCAGATACTATATCCCCAGCCAAAGTCTTCCAGCAATACTACGCCTGCCCGCGTGTGCTCGTGCAGTGTAAGCACTGAGGACGTGCTGCTACTTGCTGGTTGCAAGCACTGGGCAAAGCCTGACTGCTCATTACAGAGGGCTCACGTGGCATGTTCTATATAACCTTTAGTCCATGTTGCTGTGCAGGAGTGCCATCTTTGCATTCCAGCAGCCGTCAATGTTGCTGAGTCACATTGTGCCAATACAAATAAAGGGGCAATGATATGATGCAAAGTGGTGTGAAAAAGTATTTGTATGCGTCCTGAAAAAAATGCCACTCTGACGCAACATTTCCAGACACCAAAGGTATTGAAAGAAAAAACCAATATTGTCCAGCAGTGAGTCTGCTGCAAACCTGTGATGTGGCAGGCATGAGACTGCCTTGTTTTCCCCCCTCCTCCTCTGCCTTTGCTGCAGCTGCATCTCCCGGGCCTCTCACACGCAGCCCCCGCACCGCCTGCCCCGGCTGATGCACTGGTCCCGGGCGCCGGAGAGAGGCCACAGAGCTGCGGTGAAGCCAAGTGCTCTGCATCTCTGGCAAGGTCCCCCCAGTCTGACATCCTGTAAGCCCTCCCGTATAATTTTTTCTTGTGCTTGTGTCACCCCTGAAAGACAAGGTGTTGCAGGGTTGTATAATATATGTGTTTTAATATTAACAATCTTTCGTTTCCTGGAGGAGCTACATTTCCTATAGTAGCTAATGTGGGTAGGAAGCATTAAACATCCTTTCAGGTGTCCTGATTAATGTTCATAAATCATTTTCTTGGTTGCTTGGTGCAAGTGCTTTTTTGCTTTGCAGACGCCTGATGTCTTTGAAGGAGGATCGTGCTACCAGAGAATGGCAGTACAGTGAAATCTGCATGGGGACGGGACAAACATGCATGTTCCCTGGGCTTATCAATAACTATTATCAATACATCATTTCTTTTGCTGAAGATGAAGCAGGTAATCTTTCAACTTTATATCGCCTGTGGTTTCTTTTTGGATAAAAACACCAGAGAAGGGGTCAGAGAGGGTTCCTGCGAGGCAGCAGGTGGTGGAGAGGCAGAACATCAGTCTGTCAGTCTTTAAAATGCTGGTGGGTGAGATTTCCAGCATCTCCCAAATATCAAACCAAAGTCACAGTCCTAATTTTGAGGCACCTCCTCCAGTGGCCAGCGTGCCACGCAGTGACTGCAGGGGGAATTGGGGAGGCAGTTCCCTGCAAGACGGAGTCTGGGTGTGCTGCTGCCCGCACACCTATGGTCTGGAGGGATGGGGAACAGCAGAAAGCAAATACAATTAGAAAAGAAACCTCATTCTTCACGGTGCCATGCCATGGGGAATGCAGGCCCTGAGAGGCTGAGAAGCTGATACCCATGTGAGAGTAAATCTATGCTCTTGGCTAGTCAGGAAGGCTGTTGGCCTTATTAATGGATACAGGGAAGCAGATGTAATGAACAGTAATTATGAACCTGCTCACCCTGCCCTGGAATATTTGTACCTCGTGACGTGAAGCAGAACGAAAGCCCTACGTTATGTCTCGGGTGAGGCATCAGCAAAAGGCTGCTTAAGTTCATATTTTACTAGTGCCAGCTGGGATTTTGCCTTGCGTAGGACTGAAGGATGTAATCTCAGTGGAGCTTTGCATAGCTGCGTTGTTAAGACTGGAGACATTTTTGCTTTCTAGGAGGGAGCTGCTGCAATTTGAAAAGGGGGAAATAAATAGACCTGGCATGAAAGCTGGTGCTTGCTACCTTTGTTTGTACAAGGGTATGGTTAATTGCCCAGCCCTGCGGCAGGGCAGGCAGAGCATGCAGCTTCTGGCTGGGAACAGGGAGAGGATGACCCTTGCTAAGTAGCCTTGTGTGCGACTCAGCAATGCAGGCATTTGCATTCTGCCCCGTTGTGGGGAGGTCCTGGCTTGTGGTCACAAGCACCCGCTTCCAGAATGCCCCAATTTTTAAACTTCTGTTTTTCCTGCAGACTATGTCAGTGTGGATGTTGCACAAATGCAACATGCATTGCATATCATATAAATGCAAATGTTATTATGTAAATGCTAATTATCCAAATTAAATATTAGCTCAAAAGTTTGACTTGGGAATTTTATATTTTTGGAGTTTTTTTTAATCCATTTTCTTTAATGGTTAATGTTCATGGAAGATAGACCTGTTTTTCAGTGCTGTGGGAAAGAAGGATATCTTACCCTAAAATCAGAAAAACTTAGTTTACATCTGCTTTATGCCAAGGCAGAGGGCTGCCAAGTGCAGTATCAAGCTGCTAATGGCAGCTCTTGCTCATGCACCTGGGGAGCGGCGTCTCCTTTGCCCTGCGCCTGGGAGCGGAGTCTGTGCAAAGGCAGGGCGAAACGCTGCCGCCCTTCTTCTGCCCTGCGCTTTTCACGCGTGCTCTGCGGAAGTATAATAGAGCTGGGTGGAAATTTGGGCTGGAGTCTGTTCTTAGAGGTAATTTGCCATGTGTTTGCTTTATTATGATGGAAGGAAGTCTGTTGATAAGTTTAGGGAGTTTTCTTTATCTGCAGTGAACAGTCTTCTCTTTCACCTTTTCGGTGTGCTGGGAGTCTGGTTTTTTACAAGTTTATCACACAGTTTATTTCAACAAGCTTTTCTTCATGGAAGCGTTTGTTTTTTGGGGTTGTTGCTCTGATGCACGTTAATCCAGCTGATGCAATGGATGTGTTTATGCAGTGGGGACGGCTATATTTTTGGCTCATTGCACAGCCATTATAAAGCCAGCAGCCCCATCCCCTGGCAGCTGAACGTGTCGGGGACACCCCAGGCACTGTGCTATGTCTGTGGGGCACACGTGTGATATAGCCTGTGTGCTTCATGGCCTGAGCATCCATATTTCTGCCTGATAATTTCCGGGAAGGAGGGGTGGGATGTGAAGCACGCATCACTGCACCGCAAGACACAGTGCCAGGTGTTTCCTATCCCTGTTTGGATCAAGGCTGCCTCTGGCCTGTGGCTAATGGAGCCCACCCGAAAAAGGAAGAAACCAGCCAGGGGTGGCCAGGGGTGGCTGGTTTCTGCCCTGGGAGCATCCGGAGGAGCTCGGCCAGGGCAGCACAGGAGAGCAGGGAGGAGGAGGGAGGCTCAGCAGCCAGCAGGAGCTGCCACCGACTGCCCACATCTTCCTTTGCTCACTCTGGCCCCTCTGCTCCTTCCCCTCTTCCCCTTGGGGTAGCCACAGGATGCCCAAAGAAATCTACCTTACTCACTGAGCAGGTCTCCGTTGCCTTTTTTCCTTCCTTTTTTATTATTATTTTTTTTAATATTGAAAATTAATTCTTTCTCTCCAATCCTTTTCATTGTACCACTCAAGCATTTGAGCTGGCAAAAGAGAGAGGAGAGTGCTGGAGGGACTGCTTATTCCAGCCTCCCCTGCACAACAGGAGGAGAAGGGTGGAAATGCAGTTAAAAGAAAATAAGTCGAATAAATGGTGATGGACACTGTTTGGCTGAAGGTCGAGCCCTATCCATGTGATGTGACAGAGCTGTGACAAACCAAATGCTTTTTGTGTGAGATAGATCTTACTTTGTGAGTGTGCTAGAGAAAGCAAAAGCAAAATCTTGTTCTTCTGTAATTCAGCCCAAAGGAGTGGTTCATCCAAAAGAACAGATATTCATCATTTCCTCTCATTTCATTTCGACAAAGGGAATTCAGAGTTTGACTGTTTTGTGTTAGAGAAGTTAGAGGACACAGATCTGACTGAGGTGACAGCTAAAGTCTAGGCAGCTGAACCTGCAGTGGAAATTTGTCCAAATAATATTTCATGACAATGTCTAAAAGCTCCCACTGGCTAAGAGTATTCTATGCCACTGGACTGCACATGAACTCTCACTGCAAACATGAATACAAACCTGGCTTGTTTCCTCCACTAGCCAGACCTCCACATTGGTCCCAGATTTCCTGATGCCCTCTGACCTGTGATGCAGAGTTAATTCCTTTGTGCTGTACAGGACAGAAGCTCCATGGAGAGTTTTCATGGCTGTGTTTTTTTTTTTTTTTTTCTCCAGGGGAACTTTACTTCATGTCTACTGGCACACCAAGCGCCACAGCTCCCCATGGAGTGGTGTACAAAGTGGTGGACACCTCTAGGTATGCGATGTTCTTGTTGCAAAGCCTGCGTGTGGTGCAGTGTGTCCAGGCGTGGATGTGATGAATGATGGTGACTGACTAACTAGCTCTTCTCCCACGCTGGGCCTTTCTGTGGAGCTTGATCAAGGAACGGCTGGAGCAGCCCGTTGTGGGTCTGCTTTGCTCCTGCAGTCGTGGCAGTCTACGCTGCCGAGCGATCACCAAGTGGTTACGGGGCCTCTTGGTGTTATGTGGGTCAGGAGATTTGTTCCTGAAAGATAAAGGAGTATTTTATGGGTGGCTTGTATTTTTCAGGCAAAGTTTCTCTAGATTCCTGCCCAGGAGGAGGCAGTTTTTCTCAAGGTGTTTATTCTCAGTTCCTCTCCATCCCTTGTAGCCAGCTGCATCTCCCGTAAGAGCCCTGTGCCCAGGGAGCTGCAGCCAAACCTGACCCAACATGACCTGCAGTGCTTTCTCGGGCAAACCAGAAACGCATGTCAAAAAGTACATTCTTTTTTGTGTTTCAAAGAGGAAAATGGTTTGGACAAGAAACTAAGACCATTGTTACACCTTCTGGATCCTGTGTGTGCGTATCTTCAGACTAGGCAAGGCGGGGAATAGTTGTGTTTTATGGGAAGACTTATAGCTGCTTTTTCCATCGTCCTGTTTTTTAAGCGTTACTGTTATTGGCAAAACACCAAAACACTTTCAGCCCGACATACCGAGTGAAACTTTTGTAGCTTTTATATTTTTAAAAGGATTAAATTTACAGCTTTAGCTATCTGAGCATTTTGAACCAAACCGCTTTTCTGTTTTATGTTGGAACCAGACCCCAAAGTTAAACAGCCCCTGGAACTGCCGTGTGTTTTCATCCAACTCCTCCTCTGTCAGGAGCATTTTCCATTATCTAACACAGTGGAATAGTTCCTGTAAACTGTGTATTAAGAGGCTGGTATTACGTAACCTTTGCAAAAATAAAGCAAGCAGAATTCAAAAGAAAGTCATAAGTTTAAGTTTAAAAAGAAGTTTCTTTACTGTGTGGAGTACAGCAATACAAATAAGAAAGAACTCATAGGAAAATTCACACAAGTAGGGGACATCCCTGTGGCAGTAGTTGAGAGGCGCGAGCTCTTTGCCTTCCACAGAAATGCAAATGCAAACAATCCTAATTACAAAGGAGTTGTACCCTCCAAATGCAAACATAATGTATTTTTGAACCAGTTTGAAAACCTCTGAAGAAGGCTGCAGATTAACGAGCCAGCCAGCATAGAAAAAAGTGATGATGAACTGAATGTAACTTCTCAGAAGTGAGATATACTTCCGTGACAAACAAATTTGTGTCAAAATAATGTGTTGTTCTAAGAGGAAGCCTCTGTAGGAGACACTTAGAGCTCTTGTTTGAAATCAGTGCATTTTTGGTACTACTTTTGTAGTAATGAGTCTTTTGTTTGGGCTTTCTCTACAAATAGTGTATTAGTTTGCTTCTCTGAAGACAGCCTGAAAACTTTCATACACATGACCTTTATGTCAGATGTTCAACATATACTGCCTAGTTTTGTGATTTTTATTTTCAATTTGATTAATCTCTTTCTGTAGTGCTTGGACCTGCCAATGTTTCATTTCCTTAATGGATTCAGCAATAGCAAGTGAAAACACAGCCAGAGGACTCCGCTGCCTTGTGAATATTTGGACTTTGATCAATGGAGATATGTGATTGTTTAATTATGTTTTCTACAGTAAGATTACTTGGATCACTTAAACAGACTTTTTTTTTCCAGTGAGCATTACATTCATTGAAAAACAATGGGAAGCAAAGGCTCATGATGCCAGGGGAAAGGAATTAATTGTACACTGTATGTATCCCTTTTTTTGCAGGAGAGCACCACCAGGAAAATGCCAAGTTGAGCCATCGCCAGTGAAAGTAAAAAGCAAGCGCATCCAGTTTGTGCCAAAGGAGAGTAAGTGTCACTGTTGCTGCTTATTATTGGTGCGTGTTAGTTGGCAGTAAATATCAACTCCAGGCTCGCACTATCTCTGTACGCGTGGAGACCACCCAGAACTTCACTCTTCAGAGTATCCTCAAAATTAATTCTTACCAGCTGTTTTGGATCTGAAGAGTTGGTTCAAATATGGCATAAGATATTTCCTCTCTCCTGGCCATGTGAAATCTTCTCTGTGGTTTCTGCCCCTGTACATTTTCCCTTTTCCATGCTACATCGTACCTGTTTCATTACCAACTTGGTTTCCCCATAACTGTTTGTGTAGTGAGATCCTGTCTGTGCTTGATGGTGCTTTTCAGTGATAAGTGATTTTTTGCAGTGCCTTTAGGTACTGAGAAGCACTTTAGGAGCTGAAGGATATGATGGCTAAAGGGTTGGGAAACAGCTCATTGAGCAAGACGAGGGCTGAATCATTGTTAGCTGTAAGTGAGAGAATATGGGATGAGAAAACACTCCCAAAAGCATTGGCGTGATCAGCCATTCAGGTGAACTTTTGGCTTACCCAAACCCTCCAGGGCTTTTTGATTGCTTCATGCTGAATGAAGTATTGTACTGCTACAGCTGGAGCAGTCAACGATGCAGCTGAATCTGCAGCAAGCCAAGTACTATTTATGTTAAATGCAAAGCCTAAATATGCTATTAGGATCTCGAAATTAGATTAGGCAGCATTACCTTTCTTCTCCCCTGTGCACTTTGTGTACATGTGTAAGTACCTAGGCGGTACTCTAACAATGTTGTCGAGAAGTTAATATTACTGTAGGATCTCTAATGTCAGAGCACTTTAATTTTTAATTACATTAATCATGTTACACTGCATTTGAGTCATTGACAGTTCCTACAGCTTTGACTTCAGGGAGGAATGAGGGCACTCAGCACCTTGAAAGATTGAGTCTTTAAGGTGGAACAAGATCTAAGGCTAATTATTAACTGTTGACATGCCTGAGCACTCAGCACGTCTTCAGAAACATCCTCCTTTGCAAGTTGTGCACGCGGTTTCCAAACATTAGTAACTTGGTTCATGTTCAACTAGCTTTGTCTCTGTTTCTGCTTATGCGTTATTCTCTATGCAAGTCCAAAGTTCAGATTTTTAAACTACACATATAACTACATCTTTTCGGTTTGTTTACAAGGCAGTTTTCGTCATAAAATAAAACTTAGAAACAGTGGGAGAGGTTCTGCCAAGTGTCTCAAGAACTAAATTCATATGTAGGTGAAAACCAGGCATGAAGATTTTGGTTCAGGAGCATGCAAACAGGACGTGTAGCTGTAAATATCTTGCTTTTTTGGTTAGTGCTTAGTGTGAATGTAACAGAATTGCCAAGGCATGCAGCTTGCATTAGCTGGATGAGTGCATTTGTTGGAAGTGTATTTAATAAAGATCTTGACGAAGAGTAAGTAATATATAGTAACAACTTGATTCAGTGAGGTGAAAAGCACTCCCAGGTGGCCACTGGCTTTCATGCAGTCCTATGTATCGTTATATGAGTTCTAGGATTTTTAACTGCTTTGCCAGATCAGGCTCCAGCAATTGAGGTGTGCACAGGTAAGGCTTTCACATTTGTTTCTTGCCTTCAGAACCTCAGCTTCCAAAGAAGGAAAATATTTTCATGCCACAAAAACAATTCCTGTCCAAGGAGCGTTATTTGGAAAAACTGGACCGCTGCAAGGGTTTGTCTTTTGGGTACAATAAATATTAAGCACAAATAAGACAGTCATATTTTTCCTTGTCTCTGTGCTACAAAGGAAATGATGAATGAGAATGGATAAATCTAGGATATAATTCAAAAAAATGTGATGTCTTTGCAAATGGATGTGACACCGTCCCAACTCAGTAGATTGTTATTCTGAGTAATTCTGAATTGCTTCCTTCTGACAAGCTAAAACTTATTTTTAAGCTAAAAATAGAGCACATGTGAATAAGCAAGTCCAGTAATGCCTGGAAACTGTGACAGCAGAGAATTTTCAGCTCTTCAGCATTCAAGGCTCTTTTATTTTTTTTCATAAGGAAGAAAAAACCCAAGCCCAAATCCTGTTTTATGTGTTGTCCTGGCAACTCCATTCCTTTTACACATTCCGGTTGCCAGAGAGAATTGGTTTTGAATGTTCCTGATTTCAGCTCCTCTGAATAAAGCATCTGG